CAAAGAAATCAGGGGGTGTTAAGATCCCAAAGAAATCAGGGGGGGGGTTAAATCACAAAGAAATCAGGGGGTGTTAATCACAAAGAAAACAGGGGGTGTTAAGATCCCAACGAAATCAGGTGGGGTTAAGATCCCAAAAAAATCAGGGGGTGTTAAGATCCCAAAGAAATCACGAAGGGTTAATATCCCAAAGAAATCAGGGGGTGTTAGGATCCCAAAGAAATCAGGGGGTGTTAAGATCCCAAAGAAATCAGGGGGGGTGTTAAGATCACAAAGAAATCAGGGGGTGTTAATCACAAAGAAAACAGGGGGTGTTAAGATCCCAAAGAAATCAGGTGGGGTTAAGATCCCAAAAAAATCAGGGGGTGTTAAGATCCCAAAGAAATCACGAAGGGTTAATATCCCAAAGAAATCAGGGGGTGTTAGGATCCCAAAGAAATCAGGGGGGGTTAAGATCCCAAAGAAATCAGGGGGGGGGGTTAAGATCACAAAGAAATCAGGGGGTGTTAAGATCCCAAAGAAATCAGGGGGGGGGTTAAATCACAAAGAAATCAGGGGGTGTTAATCACAAAGAAAACAGGGGGTGTTAAGATCCCAACGAAATCAGGTGGGGTTAAGATCCCAAAAAAATCAGGGGGTGTTAAGATCCCAAAGAAATCACGAAGGGTTAATATCCCAAAGAAATCAGGGGGTGTTAGGATCCCAAAGAAATCAGGGGGGTGTTAAGATCCCAAAGAAATCAGGGGGGGGGGGTTAAGATCACAAAGAAATCAGGGGGGGTTAAGATCCCAAAGAAATCAGGGGGGGGGTTAAATCACAAAGAAATCAGGGGGGGCTAATCACAAAGAAAACAGGGGGTGTTAAGATCCCAACGAAATCAGGTGGGGTTAAGATCCCAAAAAAATCAGGGGGTGTTAAGATCCCAAAGAAATCACGAAGGGTTAATATCCCAAAGAAATCAGGGGGTGTTAGGATCCCAAAGAAATCAGGGGGTGTTAAGATCACAAAGAAATCAGGGGGTGTTAAGATCACAAAGAAATCAGGGGGTGTTAAGATCACAAAGAAATCAGGGGGTGTTAAGATCACAAAGAAATCAGGGTGTGTTAAGATCCCAAAGAAGCGTGGGGGGGGGGGAGGGTTAAGATCACAAAGAAAGTAAACTGCCTCTAGACATGACTTGGCATATCCAATATGAAACTGCTGACGTATTAGTAAATGATGAACAATGGCCCAGTTAGGACGAGCTATCAAGCAAACCACGCCGTCTCATGGGTTTTATTTCTTCAATTAAATTTTGAAAATAATCACTTTAACATTGTTATAAAGATGTGCAGCTTGTAACCCGCCTTCATTCATCAACTTGGGCTCCTCGCACATTTTAAATAGAAACAGCGGACACGTTTTGTTGCGTATTCTTTCATTAAGTTGTGCGAGACGTGACGCCCTTGCAGGAGAAATGGTATCACCTTAAAACTGAAACTCAATCCTCCATTTTATTGTCTCTTTAACACCATCTTCAGATCAGAATCCTTGATGATAATTTAGAAGTTGCTCCCCCTGGCGTCAGTGGTCGCATCGCCATCCAGTCACCGGCCCTGTTCACACGCTACCTCGGGGAGCCTGCCAAGACTGAATCTGTGCTGACCAAAGATGGCTGGTTTCTTTCAGACGATGCTGGGTACCTGAGGTCAGTTGGACAGTTTGATAACAATCTCAATAATAAATTCTATAACAGTGTTTCCTAAAGCGGTCATCGCCGACCAGCTCCCGTCCACAAGCCTTATTTTGTTGGTCCGCAAAAGATTAATATTAATTGTCAAATAAATAGGTTTGAAAAACAACAGCAACAAAACTTATCAGGTGACGGATAAGTCTTGACAGTTACACAGTGACCGACACCAATATTCGTCTAATCTGAAAAGCTTATCAAATCGCTTTTGTATAAAGTTGCACCCTACACCTGGATGATGATAAAACATGTTTTTAGTTTCACGTTATTTGAGAGAAAAAAAAAAGTTTAAAATGACAGATATGTTCGTCGTGGAAGGAGATATGAAAAAAAAAAAAAAAAGAAATTCAGGGCAGATCATCGGGCCAAGATCTCCGCAGTTTTAGAGGCGATTGGATTTTTTAAAATGGATTTAAAATAACAGGAACGTTCTTAAAGTTCCAAAGGACTGTTTGATTTTAAGTTACAATAGTTGACAGAGTGTTGCGGGTTTAATGTATAGCCGTGTACTCACTACTGATGTTGTGTTTTCTTGACAGTGATGAAGGGCGACTCTTCGTGTTTGGAAGAAAGGGCGACGTCATCTCTAGAGGTAGGTATATTTCAATAATATATTCCTGAAAGTGTATTAGATTATTATTCTTGTAATTATTTTTTTCTCTTGTTTTTTTAAAGGTATACTCATAGCTTATGTTTGTTGAATTATTCATATAAAGTGATATAAAAATCTTCAATTTTACCAAACTTTCAGGGTCACTGCCTTTATATATCTTAATCTGGTGCCTATTAAGTTTTTTTTAAAAAACGTTTCTTGTTTAGGCCTCTATGCGAAGCACCTTTTAGAGCCGATCCATGAACTGTTCCGTCGGCCTCTACACTTGAGAGACTTTATGAATTCGGTTGATGATCACGGTCCTGACTTTACGAATTTGGTTGATGGTCACGGTCCTGACTTTATGAATTCGATTGATGATCACGGTCCTCACTTTATGAATTCGGTTGATGGTCACGGTCCTGACTTTATGAATTCGGTTGATGATCACGGTCCTGACTTTATGAATTCGGTTGATGGTCACGGTCCTGACTTTATGAATTCGGTTGATGGTAACGGTCCTGACTCTATGAATTCGGTAGATGGTCACAGTCCTGACTTTATAAATTCGGTTGATGGTCGCGGTCCTGACTTTTTGAACTGGTTGATGGTCACGGTCCTGACTTTTTGAACTTGGTATATGTTCACGGTCCTGACTTTATAAATTCGGTTGATGGTCATGGTCCTGACTTTATGAATTCGGTTGATGGTCACGGTCCTGAATTTATGAATTTGGTTGATGGTCGCGGTCCTGACTTTTTGAACTGTTTGATGGCCACGGTCCTGACTTTATGAATTCGGTTGATGGTCGCGGTCCTGACTTTATGAATTCGGTTGATGGTCAAGGCTTGACTTTATGAACTTGGTTGATGGTCACGGTCATGACTTTATGAATTCGGTTGATGATCACGGTCCTGACTTTATGAATTCGGTTGATGGTCACGGTCCTGACTTTATGAATTCGGTTGATGGTCACGGTCCTGACTTTATGAATTCGGTTGATGGTCACGGTCCTGACTTTATGAATTCGGTTGATGGTCAAGGCTTGACTTTATGAATTCGGTTGATGGTAATGGTCCTTTTAAATCGCCTGCCTTTATAGCAAACGACTGAAAAAAATTTTCAAACATTTCCTTCCGCATTTCTTTGTACAACATATTATTATGTACAGATTCATGGGCTGTAAGTATAGCTGCTATAGAAAGATTGTTTTGACGGTGCCTGCGTCAGTCTTTCAGACACGGCTTAACGAGGCTCAGTCTTTTAGTCACGGCCTAAAATAGGATCATTCTTTCAGTCACGGCCAAAAATGGGGTCAGTCTCTCCGTCACTGCTGCTATGGGGTCAGTTGTTCAGTCACGCTCGTCGTAAAGGGGGTCAGTCCTTGAATCAAGGACGGAAGACATAGTTGAATAATAAAAAACGAGTATATAAAAACGAAAGAACTGATAAACTAAGATGGTCTAAAATTAATTACTAATTTTTGTTTTAGTTTGTTAATCTTAACTTTAATTATGATTATCTTAAACAAGATAATCTTAATTCTAGTTAATAATTATTTAAATTGGGAGAGGTGCTATTCTGACACATTTGATCTGTACCGCGAGCATCCGTGCAATGTCATTCTGTGGAAATAAAAGCTGTTTAGGGGTCATGCTCATGGAAAAAGGGGGGGGTGGGTGGGGGGGTGGCAGAATTTGTGACACTTTGTGACTTTTAAAAACATTAATTTGAGGTCGAAATTGCTTCAGGTATTATAGGTACCGTGAAACTCAGTCAACTGGAGATGGGGGGGGGGGGGGGGGGGGGGTGTGGGGGGGTGGCAGAATTTGTGACACTTTGTGACTTTTAAAAACATTAATTTGAGGTCGAAATTGCTTCAGGTATTATAGGTACCGTGAAACTCAGTCAACTGGTGTGGCCATTTTACATTCGGATTGTGGATGACTTTGTATTTTTGCGTCACAGTTTTCTAATAATACTCAATCTTAATCCATTATAGGAAATTATTAAAGAATAAAATTAAATTCTTAGTTAAGTTATGAAAATTGTATGTCGTTTTTGAATTTTTTTAGGTGAAACGTGATACTAAGGTTGGTGGAGAGGGGTAAAGAATTTGTGACACTTTGTGACAGGGGGATCTAGGGGTCTAAAAATGTCATTTTTTTCGTGACGTAATTTGCGAACGAACCCTTATCCAAAACTTTCTGTTCAACCTGACCTATTTCCAGGCATTGTCTTGATCTACCCGGCCTGGATAGAGAGGCCAATCAGCGCGCACCCACACGTCCTTGAGGTCATGGCCGTGCCCGTGCCAGATGACGTCAACATCCAGAACGTCTGCGTGTGTCTCGTGAAGCAGCCCGACAGCGACCTCTCGGGGGATGACGTCAAAGAGTATCTGAGGACCACCATGACGGACGGGGGCAACGGGCTTTTCGTTGTGGACCACGTTCTGTTCTTTGAGGACCAACTGCCGAATTTATCGCGAGTGAAGCTTGGAGAGTTGGCTGCAGAGAAGCTGGCGTTGAAATGATGAGGTTTTGTGGATGAGTTCTTCTGCGATCTGGGATTAATTGTAATTTTGATGTGTTACTTACACAGATTAACAGTGGTGCATGATCATTTACCTTTTTATACATGTGTGTGAATGAGGGTGTCTGTGAGTGAAATAATTTATGTACATTTTGAGAGGAAGGAATTTTATTTATATTTTTTTAATTTTACAGAAATGGATTTCAGATTTCACCATTCAAACATAACACTGACCCCCCTCTAACCCGGCCCCTCAACCCTACCCCCAACCCAACCCGACCCCCTTACCCTAAGCCTAACCCCCCACCTCAAACCGACCCCTTATCTTAAACCCACCCTAAATCAATCCCTTACTCATACCCAATAAACAACAACAATGACCCCCCCCCCACACACACACACACACACCCTTTAATTGTAAGCTTAAAAAGGTTTTGAAATTCTCCTTTTTTGCTGAAATCTTGAAATTTTTAAATATTTACCAAAGTACATTTCTAAAAATCTGAACATTTTAATCACTGAATTATACTGGG